TGCTGATTGTTTCTCCTTTAATCCACCACTTCCCAAAGTCTGAACAAGAACTCTCTCTCCTCAGACCAGTGGAACCTCCTGAAAACACACCCATTTCCATTTTGACAAGAGCAGACCTTTGTTTCTGAAATGCAGATCCCAATTCTTATTTCTAGGTCTGGTGCTTATAATGAATGGCTCATCTCGTAGATTGGTAAAGCCTTTACATGACCTTCTTGGCAATCATTCTCAAATCTTTAAATACATGTACCCCCACTCATACATTGCTGATGGGACTGCAAATTGGTAAAACCACTCTGGAAAGCAGTATGGAGATTCTCAGAAAGCCTGGAATGGAACCACCATTCGACCCAGTTATACCACTCCTCGGCATATACCTAAAGGACTTAAAGGAAGCATACTATAATGATGCAGCCACAACAATGTTTATAGCAGCTCAATTCACAATAGCCAAGCTACGGAACCAACCTAGGTGCCCTTCACCAGATGAATGGATAAAGAAAGTGTGGTTTATGTACACAATGAAATATTATTCAACCATAAAGAAGAATGAAATTATGGCATTTGCGGTAAATGGATGGAACTGAAAACTATCATGCTAAGTGAAATAGGCCAAACCCCCAAAACCAAAGTCCAAAATGTTTACTCTGATAGGCAGATGCTAACACATAATAAGGCGGGTGGAAGGGGAGAATAGAAGTTTATAGGATTAGACAAAGGGGAATGGAGGAAGGAAGAGGAAATGAGAATTGGAAAGAAAGTAGAACGAATCAGACATAACTTTCCCATGTTCATATTCGAACACATGACCAGTGTAACTCCATATTATGTACAACCACAAGAATGGAAAATTGTACTTCATGTATGTATAATATGTCAAAATACATTCTATTGTCAAGTGTATCTAAAAAGAACAAATAATTAAATAAATACATGTACCCTTTGAACCAACAGTTCAACATCTAGAAATTTATCTTACAAAAATATGTCTGCATATGAACAAAATAATATGATAGGATATCCATTGCAGTTCTCATCATAATAGCAAAAAATATTTTAAACAATATCAAATCCATCTTGAGGATGTGATGAATTTATGATAGCACATTCATGCATACAATGAAATACTCAGGAATCATTTCATGGACCCATCTGGAAAAAATATCCATGACATGGGTATTGAAAATGAGTTGAATGATTGTATGTATACTTGAATCCACTTTGGTAAAACTCTTGACCTTGGCACCACTGGCTCTGGGCTAGATAACTGTGGTGGGGCTGTCCTGCCCCTTGTAGGATGTTTAGCAGCATCCTGGTCTCCATGTATTAGAGGCCAGAATTGCCCCATTCACCCACAGTTATAACCACCAGCATTGATTAAGGCATTGCCAAGTGCCACCCAGGGGTGGAGAGGAAAGGCAAAATTACCCCCAGCTCAAAGCCACTGGCTTAAAATAAGGATATATGAAATCATGACTTAGGTTGGAGCAACATAGAAAGAAGTCCACAGTTTTCTACCAGTGGTTCCCCTGGAAACCAGGACTGGTCAGGGAAAATAGTATTCTCTTTTTAATTTCACACACCTCTGTATTATTTGATTTTTGGTTTCTTCTGCAAGGAAGTAGAAAATCTATTTCTATTGGACCCTACTTAGGGACATGCGCATGTATAAAGTTAGCTTGTATCAAGGACTTTCCTGAGAATAGAGAGACTGATGAGCCATATCAGGAAGGAAAGACCTTTGAAAGGACTTGATCATGGGACACAGTGGTCACCAGAGCTCACCACTCAATCACCCGGAGTCCTACCAAGCCACGCTGCAAGAGCCACCGTGAGACATGGTGAGCTACATGGGAAATGTGCAGTTCTCACTTCTGGCTTTGGATCTGATGAGGAATGGCATTTTTCATCCTCTGCTTTGAATCTTTCATATGCAAAAAGGAGCATCTAATTTTCCACAAAGACTTGAGTGCAGCATCTAGAAGTGGTTTCCTTTTATAATCAAATTTGATATCACATAAATCAAAGACAGAAATCTTGTGCATCCTGAGCTCGGTGCTCTTAAAACTAATTTTTAAAAATAATTGCCCATTTCAATTTGGGCATTTGAGAGTTTGGGGGAAGCTGAGAGTGCTTGGGTTTCTTCTTCATTTTGAAAGAATTCCTTCTAGAGAGATTGTTCCAGTACGTTGATATCCTCATGAGGAAAACGGAATTAATATTTTTTTCTCTTTTCTGCTTTTCTAACTGACAGATTGCTCTGTAAAAAAAAATGACGAAGATCTGTTCAAAAATCATAAGGTAAACTGCCACAGCTAATTTTTGTGATATTTCCCCCACGGAGTGCATTAGAACTCATGCCAAACTTCCTAACAGGAAAAAAATAAACCTGCATCTTATAGAAAATAATAAACATTCAGACCCCCATAAGGATGCTAGCAAATGACATATCAGATTTCCACCGCGAATATCTTCACCCAGCTGTAACTGCACGGTACTGAGGAATTATGGTTTTTGAACTATATATATATAAACTGGCAGGGGAGAATTCTCTTGCCCATCTATGCTGGTGTTTTAAAGTGATTTCAGATACTGTATGAATCAAGTTACAAATCAGTACAAAAATGCCTTATTTTACATTCATTTTTCATGATGTTTATTTTTTCTTGGTGGAATAATCATGCTGAGAAATCCATATTTGATTCACACGCTATCCATGCACATTTTAGTCATAACTTTGGGAAGGATTATTTTCCTCTCCTGATTTAAAACAGCTTCTTAAAGGCATCTGGTCTTATTTGGTGATGTTTCACTTCTTTGCAATTTTACCTGTTTATCAAAGCCCTCATATTGTACAGTCAGTCCTTGAGTTCATTAAACATTCCCTTTAAGCTACTATAGCTGCCACCATGTCCCTTTGAATCTAAAGGGTCAAGGTCCAGAACTGCCGTGAGAAGAATCACACCACATACAATTTCTTGATGCAAAGAGAAAGCCATGGTTCCTTGATTTGCCTGTACACAACACTGCAGACTCAAATGAGGCGGGGACCACAGAGCATCATTTTCTAAGCCTCTCCCAGAGTCCCACTCAAACCAGCCGTGCCACTCCAGAGCAAGAGATGCTTTCAGCGGAACTCAGTGGCATAGTCAGGGACCCCTCCCCATTCTGCAATATTGTCTGCACCTGCTACTTTCAGAGAACTGCCCACGGGGATGAGAACCACATTATCCACCTGCACAGAAAGCCAGCATGCCCAGTTCATGTCCCCTAGTTCCACGTGGAATTTAGCCAATGACTCACTGTCATATGGATAGGACAGCCCAGTCCCCTAGCCTGCACTTCCTTTATATTCCAGATCTCACTACCACTCAACACTGGGGCTGGGATTTCACCTGAAACCTCACACTTACTTAGCTTCATTCCCTTCCTGATTCCTTGTCCCCCTCCCTTATGAGCTTCTCTAGGGAGCTTGACCTTGAAGCCTCACTTGTACACTCATTCCCGTCTCAGGATCTGCTTGGAGGAACCCTGCCCAGGGTATAAACTGTACTCCTTCAGCTCTCCCCCAAATTTTGACTTTTCTTGTTCTGCACCTCTCATCCCAGGGTGATGGTTTCAGTGCATGACACCGATTTTGGGTCTCAAACTTCTATTAGCACACAGGACAGACACATGGTTTTAGTTATCAGATACCCCGACCAATTATTTCTGGTTACTGGGTTAAAATTCCTCTTTGCCAATGTCACAGTCCTTGGCACCACACAGAGGGGCTGGACGTTCATGGTGCCACCATGTGCAGCCGTCAGCATAACGCTTCCTAAGGACAAGGATTAGATCTGTCAGAGGCTTGTTCACATGCAGCACATTCAAGTCTCTCTTCTCTCTTCTTGGGTCTAATAGTGGAGGAAAATCACATGCTGCTTTCCTGTTTTTGGAGTGAATTATTTGCTTGAGTTGGTTTCTGCTATTTGGATGACTGAGGGTTATGATTGCACAGCTATAAGACTAGAGAACTTGAGTGGTTCAATGTTACAGTCATGACATGACTCAGGGGCTGGGAGTATAGCTCAGTGGTAAATTGCATCCTTAGCATGCAGGAGACCCCAGGTTTGATCCTAAAACAAAAGGGAAGGGAGGGGAAGGGGAAGGAATGAGTTTGGCTCAGGCAGAAGGTTAGGCCAGGGCTTGAATGGTTGAGAACAAGGAGAGCTGTCCTGGAGATGACCAGCTGGATCCTCCTCTCTTATGTCCCACCCCCTGCACCCCGTTTCATTCCAGGCCTGCCCAAGAACTACTAAAGGAGGATGAAATGGGTCTCACCAACTCTGGGGAAGCTGCTTCAGAGAAAGACAAGGCGTCCTCTTTCCCTGCATCTCCACACTCCCAATGCACAGCAGTCCTTCAGAAAACGTTAGCTTGTGCCTCAACAAACCTCATCTCATCCTTATAGGATACCCATGTTATTTGCCACCCAATTCAGGAAGCTTTGAGTGTGAGTGAGGATGTTATTATATTTAGACAAAATGCAAACACTGAGACTGTCCCCAGAAAACTGGGGCTTGTGGTCACCTTACATATTGACCATGCTCCATGTAGGGTTTCAGACTATCCCACACCACATCGGTGCCCTGGAGGACAACTCCAAACTTCAGACCTTAGGATGGACAGGGAGCTCAAACTCTGAACCACAGGAGAGCTGACAACGGTGGCTTTCTACAGCTGACTGTTTCCTCGGTGTTCTTGAGCTCTGAATATTATGTGAGACTGCTGTGTCTTTTTTGAGGGGTATTTGAAATAGTTTTGGGCTAGAAATGTCAAGGGGCAAACATTGGTAGTTCCAGCAGCCCTGCCCTTCTGAAACCACTCAGTTGTATCCACACCCTGCGCCATCTTGGACAGAGAGTCCTAGACACCAAGAAACAGCAACCCCGAGAGCCCCAAAGCCCTCCCAGGCCCACCCGCGAGGCTCCTCAGCTCCACCCAGGAGGCATACTCACGGTTTTCACAGCGCTGCCCGGTATAGCCTGCCAGGCAGGCACACTTATAAGATCCAGCTTTGTCAGGGAGGCAGGTGCCGTCATGGAAACAAGGGGACGAGGAGCAGGCTGGAAGAGAAAAGGCATCCCTAAGTGCCACTGTGCCTCCCTAAGTGCCTCCTCTCCAGGCCTGGAGGCTTCTTGACTTCTTGGTGGTTTTCTATTCCTTTTACGGAATTCATGTTACCCTAAAACAGGCAGGTACTTGTTACATGTCGGAGGTTGCTGATATTATTCGATCTTTCTGAGGCCCCCAGAAGGCAATGCTAGTCTGAGGTACATAAGCCAAAAAATAAACAGGAACACTGGGTTCTGTGGTGCAAGCCCAGTGACTAAGGAGGCTGAGACAGGAGGATCCCCAAGTTCAAAGCCAGCCTCAGCAACTTAGCAAGACCCTGTCTCAAGATAAAATACAAAAGGGGCTGGGGATGGGGCTCAGTGGTTAAGCACTCTTGGGTTCAATACCTGGTACCAAAAAAATAAACTGGAGCATTAAATAGATGAAAGCAGAATCATGCTTGCATCTCTTGGATGGGTAAGCATCCTTGGGTAGCTTTAGATCACCCTTAAAAAAAAAAAAAGAGAGACAGTCACTGGAAGATAATCTTTATGACACCACTAAAGGTGTACTTGAGAATCTCCAAACATATGTTCTGTAGCCATTAGTCCTTGTGATGTTGATATAAGTTCAACTCAATAAGGGTTCTGGCCTCAGATGTACTGGGGAACTGCTCCTGGCATTAATGGTAATTAACCAAACTGCTTTGCTGTAGAACCTCTCAGTTTAACGCCCTATGCATTATGAAGTTCTGAGAATGCATATAACATTCAGTCTTCCCCAAGCTTCTCTGACCTCATAACCTGCTCTTTACAGAGCATCTTAAGGACCATATTTTCTACAAACAGACATCACCATTCCTACGTTCATGGAAGAAATGCATCCCTCGATTCAGTGGAACAAATCTGTACTGAGAACTTGCTCTGTGAAAGGTACCAGAGAGACACAAAGAGAAATAGGAGATTCTATTTACCAGGTCAAGGTGATGTAGAGAAAAATATACAACTGTAACCCAAAGCACGGTGCAGTTAGTGTATTATCAAAAAAGAAGAGAAAGTGCTACAGAGCGGTCACAAAAGGGCAAAGTCACAGCTCACTGGAGCAAGAGAAAGGGTTTAGCCAAGGATGGACAAGGTGATAGGGATTCTGAAGCATGGGTTGTGATATGCAGGTTTGAGACAGGTGACCCTAGCCAGAGGCAATAATGGATAGAAACTGACGAATGGGGTGTGTGAGGAGCAGAAATGGTGCTGGCTCTTTGCCAGGGCAGGCTAGTGTTTCCTAGATTCTCAGGGGAGCGGGGAGTCGAGGAGCCCATTTCATAAGAGGGAGACCCTCCCTCCATCACAGGCACACAGGTCGGTGAGCCACCACTGTCCCCAACCAGCCTCCCTGACAGCTGGTTCTGCCTGACAGACCACCCCACAGGGGACCAGCAGGGTGTCATCAGGGACAAGGACTGACCACCCACGGCAGCAAAGCATCTGGAACTCCCAGGCCCTGCACAGCCCCATGGGGCCCAGCGTGGACTGGAGACAGGGACAACTGCTGAGAGCTACTGTGGGCATCCTGCTAAGGGACAAGCAGAGGAATGGAGGGGACTGCAGAAACCCTGACTCTACCACCACTACCACTACCCCCCCCCCCCCCCCCCCCCCCCCCCCCCCCCCCTACCCTACCCCACCCCACCCCACCTCCGCTTTCCTAAGACTCACATCAGACCTTCCTCCTAAGGGAGCCATGATGAGGAGAAGGCCATTGCTAGTTTGTTTTTATTATTATTCAGTATTTTTAAAAACTTGACCTTTGAACCTGAGCTTATTTTGTGAAACCTGCTGCAATCCGACCTCAGAACAATGAGAACCAGGCTGATTCCTTAGGACTGAGTACTGCATCTTGGCCAAATCCTACTTCCAAATACTCCAAAGAGAGCAGGATTTAAAGTCAGGCTTGAGTTCCTCATCAAGTGCATGACATTTGCCAATGTAGTTTAAGGCTTTCGAGACCTATTTTACAGATGGCTAATGGAGGCCAAGGGTACACTTGGGTTGGCAGCTACTGAGTGCTTACTGTGCATTACCCTGTGCAAACCACTTCCTCTATTCTAGAGTCTTCTTAAGGACCAGCATCTATTATCATCTCCTTAACAATAATTAGGAAACAGAGGCCCAGAAAGAGAGAGAAGAATTTTCCCAAAGTCACACGACTGGATCTGCCAAGGATCCAGGGACAATACTCTTTACCATAGTGGCCCCCCCTGTAAGCTCTAGTGTACGCAAACTGCTTGCGTACAAATTGCTGATTGCACCATTATAGCTGTGTGACCTGGAAATATTATACAGCCTCTCTGTGCTCTACCCATCTTATTTATATGAAGAAGATAAAAATTTCTAGGTCTGGTTCTGAAATACGCCTTGCCATTTCTCTCTCTCCCTTTTTTTTCTCAGTGTGTAGGTTGCTTCCAAGAATGCAACATGCTAGGTTTTAATAAGTCTGTGCAGGGAGAAAGGACTTACCCAGAGCAGATTTTACTGGAGCAAACCATAAAACGCTACAGTTGTCTCTGTGGTCTTTACCTGTGATCTCCTCGAAGATGGCATGGAAGCCATCGAAATTCTTGGAGCCATCTGAATGGAAGAGGATATGGAGCGAGGAGCCCATGCTCCTGATGGGAGCCGGCCGCTCGTTGCCACAGAAACGCTTGATGATGGGGCTGTCGCGGCTGTCTCCATCACGGACCTCGACATAGTCGTACTGGCACATGTAGTCAAACTCCAGGCTCAACATGACAAACCTGTGGGTGGAGAGGGTGACAGAAGAAACAGGTGGGCCCTGGGCAGTGCTAAGATCCTGGGGCCTCTTCAAGACCTTTATGGAGATGGATCTCTGCTTTGGAAGACAGACAATAAGCAATGAGAGAGGAGAAAAAACAAACAAACAAACAAACAAAAAAGGCAAATCCAGTGAATGCTAAGAGCCATGAATACAATGAACCAGATAAGAGCATGAAGTGAGAGTCTCGTCTCTGACACTGTGGTCAAGGAAAACCTTTCCAAGGGACTTAGTAGACCCTAGTAGAGATGAAGCAATGCGATGAAGCTAGACCTGTAAATGTCCTGCCTAAGAGTGGTCCAGCAGGGGAATCTGTGAGTGCACTTGGCACGAGGGACTGAAGGAGAATCCAGGATACCACCAGGGGACATCCTTGAGTGAAGGGGACAGTAGCGTGCTGCCTGGTGAGGGGTTCAGATTTGATTCCAAGCTCAACAGGAAGCCGCTAGAAGGTTTCAACATGAAGGTGCTGTTGGGATGTAGGACCTTAAATGACCACTCTAGCCACTCTGAGAGGAGGAGAAGGTAGAGCAGGCAGAAGCAGAAGCAGGAACCCCAGTCAGGAGCCTGGACAGAATCCCAGTGAGACACATGGTCTGAGTAGAAGGGGGGCTCTGGGGACAGAGGGACATGGGTGGCCTTGAGATCATTTTACAGGCAAGAAAATAGATTTTGTGGTAGCCTGGCAGGTGACAGAAAGGGAATGACTGATGAGCTTTTAAGCTAAATATTGTGTATATGCTTTCAAGTGTTTTCATGACTATCATTACTTGGGACCAGAAGGCCCAACTTTAAATATGGAAAGAAATCAGGCCTCTTTCCTGGGCTGGTAATGTGCTTCTTAATCCTTCACCATTTTATTTTGGGGGCTATTTCTTTTTGGATCTTCTCCTGGATCTTAGAGAAGCTTTTTGGAGTCTCTGAGAGAACATCTATCTTGGTCCCTCAGCTGCTGAAATGTTAATATGCAGCATTTAACACCTGCCTTAGCATCCTGGAGACCCAGTCCTGAGCCCATTAAGCAGAAGACTGTGACCCCCTAAGTTTCTCCTAGAACCAGCCCTCCCCTGAGAAAGCCCAATTAATCAGCCTCACTTCCAACCCCAGGTCCTCACGGTGTGGGACACCAGCTACCAAGGCCTGCTTTGATAAGGATGGAGAAGGTTTTACTGGATCCTTCCAATTCAGGGTACCATGTTGCTCCTCCTGGAGGGCAGAGCTGGCCTCTGGGAACCTCAGGGTATATTCATCCCCCCAGAAAATGTTTGTTGAAAGTTGTACCCTACAGGATCAGGAATCTCAATCACCTCTGGCCTCACCACAGCTAGAAAAGGGAAAAACTCAGTGGAAATCTTAGGGGTGATGCAGCCACTCTGCTACCCTGGAAGAAAAGAGGGAGGTATTTTTCAGGGGTGAAGAGTAAAGTGTTAATGGTGAACTTGGTCCATGCCACTGTGGTCTCCTTGATGCTCCTCAATTCTGACCCCAACCCTTACCTCAGTTGGATGATAAACCCGGGTTTGGCATGAATGGTCCACTCGCAGTGAGCATTTAAGGGGTAACTCTCCAACAAAATCTGACCCTTTGGGACTCGAAGAACCTGGCCACATCCTGAGAAGAGAAAAAGGATTGGGGTGGGGAGATTGGGGTCAACACAAAAGAGATGGGAGAAGGAGTCTTCAAACTCATCCCACACCCCTTAGAACAGAACGAAGAGGGAGAAGGGAGAAGGAAACCAATATTTTTTTATGCATCTATCCATGTATGAGGCCGTTAGCATAAATCAATTCATTTAATCCACCCAACAGCTTGGGAAGGGAAGTGCTATCATCATTATTACTCAGCAATAAAAGAGAATAAAATCATGGCATTTGCAGGTAAATGAATGGAGTTGGAGAAGATCATCAGAGAGTTAAATCAATCACTAATCTAGTCTGTAGGTGACAGAGTAGAAACTCAACTCTAATTGAATATAAAGTCCAAGTCACTATATGGTCCCACCTCTCCAAGACTAGCCCGACCTACCGCCTAGCTGCCTCCGCTTCAAAAAGTAGACTCTCCCTCTACTCCTCTCCCTTGCCCCCTGCCATCCAGTTAGAAAATCTCTGTGAACCTCTCCTATGACCATTTATGTAACAAGTGCCTCTGTAATGGATGTGTGGAGGGAGAGATGATCTGCAGCCACTTGGACAGGATTGATGGTTTTCAGGCTGGTTTTTCTCGCTCCCAAGTACTTTTGCTCAAACTCTTCTGAAGAACACCAATTTTAAAAATGAACATTGAAAACATGGATCAAAGAAGGGCTCCTGGCTTAAGAAGAAGCGGGGTCCCTAGGCCCTCCACCCTCACCTCCTCTAGTCTTCTGAATTACCTCCAAAGGAATCCTTAAGATTTGAAAAATATTGATTTTCAAACATTATTTTCTGTATTCAGATAAGCACAAATATGGATGATGCACTCTATTTTTACAAAAGAGTGGGGGAAATGTCTTCAAGTGATTTTATAGGAAAAAATTATTTGGGTCATGCACGTAAATTGTATTCCTTACCTGAGGTTGGCAAACTGTGAGGGGTCAAATCTGGCCTACTGCCTGTTTTTGTAATAATGTTTTATAAATAAAGTTTTATTGGAATACAGAATATCCATTCATTCATGTATTGCTTATGGCGGCTTTTGCTTTACAGCAGCAGAGCTGAGTACTTGTGTCAAAAGGAAGGAGGCCCACAAAAATACTCTTTTTTTATCTAGACAATTACCAAAAACAGTTTATCTACCCCAGGTCTATATAGAAATCCAGACCGATATCATAAAATAGAGATGTGCAGTTATATCCCCACCCTTCCTCAAAAAGATATAAAATCTCATAGCTAAAAAGAAGACTGTTAATATCAGTGGACATTGCTCCATGACAAGATGACAGAAGAAACATGCCCACAGTGTCAGGCAGAGAGCACACTCCACTTTTGGTAAGTTGAAGCCCTGAGGCTTGGGACTTCTGCGAAAACTTCCACTAGGTTGCATAATACAATAGCTAAACTGTGGAACCAACCTAGATGCCCTTCAATAGATGAATGGATTTTAAAAATGTGGCATATATCCACGATGGAATTTTACTCAGCAATAAAAGAGAATAAAATCATGGCATTTTCAGGTAAATGAATGGAGTTGGAGAAGATAATGCTAAGTGAAGTTAGCCAATCCCCCCAAACCAAATGTTGAATGTTTTCTCTGATATAAGGAGGCTAATTCATGGTGGGGTAGGGAGGGGGAGCATGGGAGCAATAGACAAACTCCTAGATTGGATAGAGGGGTGGGAGGGAAGGGAAGGGGTATGGGGTTAGAAATGATGATGGAATGTGATGGACATTATTATCCAAAGTACATGTATGAAGACAGGAATTGGTGTGAACATACTTGGTATACAACCAGAGATAGGAAAAAATGTGCTCTATATGTGTAATAAGAATTGTAATGCATTCTGCCTGTCATATATAAATAAAAAAATTAATTAAAATTAAAAAAATAATTTAAAAAAATCTGAAACCAAAGTGTGCATTTAGACAAGTGTGGTTTTACTACTCTCTTCTGGCTCTAGCCTGCCCATCTATCCCTATAATCCTGATCTCCTGGCATCAATCCTTGCCCCCCAATTCTATTCCCTACATAGCTGCAAAAGCTGCATGTAAGATAATTAAATGAATCAGGTGGCATCATGCTCTCTTGATCCAAGTTCTCCAAACGACTTCCCACACTATCCACTGCCCTGCCCCACGGGCTACCCAGACCCACGCTGGGCTCAGTCCTGTCTACTACCCACTTACTTGCTCTGCTCCCATCACGCCAGCCTTCTTTCTGGTGCCAGTCTCAGGCCTTGAACTTGCTCTTCCCTTAAACTAGAAGACTCATGCTCTTCCACCTCCCCTCCCTCTGGGAATTAAACTCACTGCCACTTCTTCAATGAGACCTTCCTTGCACTTCCAGCTGAGGTAGGTCCTCCAGGTTCTACAGTCGCCCTCCTGACCCCTTGTGTTTTCTTTTCAACACACATCACTAGCCGAAATTATTTGAGACTATTTTCTTACATCCTTTGGTAGAGCTGAGACATGTTCTAGCTTGTATACCTAGCCTGGTACCTGGCATATAACAGGTGTTCAATAAATATTTATTGAATGAATGAGTGATGATCTCATTATAAGCCATTCACTGGCTAAAATCTTTACCAACGTCATTTCATTTAATCCTCCTTAGAAACCTGGGAAAACAACATTCGTCTCCCCATTTCCCAGGTGCAGAACACTAAGGACAGAGAAGTTAGGGGACTTCCCCAAATTCAGATGGCCAAGAAGTCAGAAGATTCTATAAATTGCTGCTACTCGTTGTAAAGTGAAGAACAGAATCTTTGGAGTCTATCTGTTATGGTTTACATATAAGGTGTCTGTCCCCCGAAAGCTCACGTGTGAGACAATGCAAGAAAGTTTAGTGGTGAAATGTTGGATTCTGAGAGCCTTAACCTAATCAATGAATTAATCCCCTGATAGAGATTAACTGCATTGTGACTATAGGTGGTAGGGTGTAGTTGGAGGAGGTGGTCATGGGGGACATGCCTTTGGGATATATATTTTGTGAGCTTAGACTTTCTCTCTCTGCTTCATGATGGCCACGTCCTAAGCCACTTTCCTCCACCTCCCAATATCTTCCGCCATGATATTCAGCTTCATCTCAAGTCCCGAGGAATCAAGTCAGCCATTTTTGGACTGTGACCTCTGAAATCATGAGTTCCCCAATAAACCTTTCCTCCTCTAATTGTTCTTGTCAGTTCCTTTTGGTCCCAGCAGCAACAAAGCTTATTAAAACACCACCCTCGGTTTGAAGCCCAGCTTTCTCTCCACTAGCTGTGCAGTCTTAGGCAAATTATTCTGCCTCTCAGAATCTCACCTGAGTCACATGTGAATTGAAGTGGCACCTACTTTCACATGATTTGCAAGGCTTGAATCAGAATATGCATGAAAAACCCATTATAGAAAAATCAGTAAATGTTAGCTTTTGCTACAGGGTGCAGAGCAGGGGGCTGAGCCTTGCTCTGCCTGGTCCTGATGCTGGGTCTTGGCTGGTACAATGAGCTGTCTCAGGGACTTGCTGACCAGCCCTCTCCCTCTCCACTGGGAAGCAGGAAGATTTTTCCTCCTCTTTCTAAAAGAGACACATGAAATCTTCACCCTCCCGGCTTCTGCTTCTTCCTGCACACCTCACGCGTTTCGTCGCCCACATCTGCCCATCTGCTGCAGGGCTACGGAAGTGCTACGCTGGGTGTGAGAGACGAAAAAAGAAGTCCTCCCGCACAGCCCCCGCCCCTCCAGGACTGGCAGCTTCCCTGGCGGCAAGGTGTTAAATTCCAGCCCCCACCCCAAGCAAACCTCCTGCTGAGAACCCCAAGTTAGAACCAGCAGCCAGTGCTGCCAGTCTGCTTCCGGTTTCTTCCCTCCATATGGGAGCTGGAATCAGTTAGCCATGTCCCTGGGTCCCTCCCCAAATCTAAGAGAAGCCGGTGGCCATCCCATTCAGGTCTCCTTGGCAAGTCCATTGGGCTCGGTTCCAGGGTTCTGTGCCGTCTCTGGAGGGCTCAGAGCCCCCAGCCCCACCTGGGAGCCGGCCAAGTGAAAGGCTGGACCACTTGTCCTTGCAAGCACAGAGGTTGTCCTTCAGAAGCAGCCGGGATTCTAGAACACAGGCTGCACCTCGGTGCTTCATCATATCGTTTCTTCTCAGTCTGAAGAGGAGGGCCGAGTTGGCCCTGAGATGGGGAACGGCTTCCAACCAACCGGGGACAAAGAGGCCACTTCTTGGAAATGGGCTTGGAGGAAGGGGTATTGGGCCCAAAGACAGAGGAGGAGGCAGCCCCCTGTTCCCCACATCAAGGAACTCCTTAAGACTCCCCTCCCCTCCACTCCTGCCTCTACTGGGGGAATTGGCGGGCCTGGGTGCAGAGAAGGCTCACTGCACCTCTCTGTCCAGGGCAGAACAGTGAACACAGCCCAATGTCCCTGCCAAGGAAATGCTGCTGGCCAACCAAGCAGGTGGTCCTGAGCAGGCAAAGGGCCCAGAAGACGTGCTTGGATTCCCCAAAACAGTCTTGCTACAGGGAAAGGGGTGTGTGTGTGTGTGTGTGTGTGTGTGTGTGTGTCCACGCGCACACACGTGCATGCACAAGGGGATCTCTGTCCATCAACCCAGACCATCCCCTGGGGTCCTCAAGTCCAGGACTCATCTCCTATTCTTTTGCTACAGGACCAAACAGGAGGGCTAGCTAGATGAAGCCTGCTTCTACAGAGTTGAAAGGAAATCTTCATAATCTTCATTAATTTCTAAACTAATAAGAGAGCTGGAAGGTTCCCAAGAAAAATGAAGCCACCCCCTCCTCCGCCTTCACACACAAATCCTGTTATCTCCAGCATCAGGGGTTGGGAGGGGATGGCAGGAGAGAGGCACCCCATGCTTCTGAGAAGTGGTTTGGGTTTGTTTTTCTTTAATCTCTCTTAGAAAGAAAAGAAGGACTTTAAAAAGCCATTCAAAGGGAGAGCCATTTGCATTTTCTTTCCTCTTTCAAAGATGAC